ATAAAACATATCTCAATAAATAAAAAAGAATAATATAAAAAAGTATTTTTAAACAAAACTGAATTAAGAAATAACTAACAGCAAAAAATCAATGAAAACGCTAAATACCTAGAGATTAAACACTTATAAGTAACTATGGACTAATGATAATATCACAGGAACAATTAATTTCAACTGATGACAACAAAAACACAACATATCGTAACTTGCAGGATGCACTGAAGTATTGTTTACTGGAAAATTTAGAATTTTATATGGTTATATTAGAAAATAAGAGATATCTAAATGACCTAATATTACACTTTAAGAATCTATTACCAAAAACCAAAGCAAGCCCAAAATATATAGAATGGAAATAAAATGGAAATCAACAAACTAGGAAAGAGATTAATGATAAAGAATATAAATTAACGAAGCCCAAAACTAATATTTTGTAAAATCAACAATATCAGCAAATCCTTAGGCAGAAAAGGAAAGTTTTTTTCAACAAATAGTGCTGAATCATTTGGATATAGGTATGAAAAAATAATATATGTCAACTTCACCAAAAGAATCCAAAATAGATCACAGACTTTAGTGCGAAATCTAAAGCAATAAAACAACAAAAGGAAAGCTTAGACATAAGTTTTTGTGGCCTTAGGTTAGGTAATGATTTCCTAGCTGGAACATGAATTATATTACATATGAGTACAATTTGATAAATCGGACTTTAGCAAGATTAAAATATTTTGCTTTTCTAAGAAACACATTTATTCCAGAAAAAAAAATATGTCCACACGATATCCAAAAATCTTTTTTTTCTTACTGTTTTTATTTATTTCTAGGAGAGAGAGAGAGAGAGAGACAGCGTGAGCAGGGGAGGGTCAGAGAGAGAGAGAGAGAGAGTCACAGACTGAAACAGGCTCCAGGCTCTGAGCTGGCAGTCAGCACAGAGCCCGATGCGGGGCTCGAACCCACGAACCGCGAGATCATGACCTAAGCGAAAGTCGGACGCTTAACCGACTAAGCCACCCAGGCGCCCCATTTTTAATTTTTTTTCATGTTTTATTTATTTCTGAGAGAGAGACAGCATGAGCAGGGGAGGGTCAGAGAGAGGAAGACACGGGATCTGAAACAGGCTCCAGGCTCTGAGCTGGCAGTCAGCACAGAACCCAACATGGGGCTCGAACCCACAAACTGTAAGATCGTGACCCGAGCCAAAGTCGGACGCTTAATCGACTGAGCCACCCAGGCGCCCCTAAAAATCTTAACAAAGACTTTCATAATACCCCCAAACTGAAAACAACCAAATGCTCATCAATGGGTGACTAAATACATAAAATCTGTTTTAACCATGCAATGCAAAGACAGGAACAACTTATAACTTATTGCTTCACACATATCAATGCATGTTGACTGAAAGTTCTTAGTAAGAAGTAAACATTAAAATAATAGTGTCTGATTCCATATATGAAAATTTCTGGAAGCGTACCTAAATTATAATGATAGAAAGTAGATTAACAGTTGCCTGGGCGGGAGAATGGAAGGGTAGATACATTACAAAGGAGCTTGAGAAAACTCTTGTGGGTGATGTAAATGTTTAGATTATTGTGATAGATTTGATGGCACATATGTCAAAACTGATCACATTTTGCTTTTTATATATCAGTGTTGTACTATGGTCTAACTCTATTTCAATAAAATTATCAACAGAGAATATTTTTTTCTAATGATTTCTACTAAGGAAGAATAATATTAAATACTTAATTTTTTTAAAAAAGATTTAAAAGATTAAAAAATTACACGCTCTAAGAGCTACCGACTTAGTTTCAATAAAACCAAACAAAAATTATTGTTAAAAGCAACAGTTTAAACGTTGGAAAAAAAGAAAAAAACTATTGTTATTAGTCTTGAAATATATTTACCTAGCCAGTTTCTTTCTAAACAACAAGGCAGGAACCATACTTCAAGGAATGTTCAAAGAATTCTCAAGACATTATTTTACATAGCAAGTTTTTTTTTTTTAATCCTACCTAAATAAGAGACACTATAGAGTTTGCTGGTACGCTTTATTCTAAACATTTACTTCAGAAAAATTAAACAAGCTGACCAATGTCTAAAGCTCTAAAGCAAAGAGGAAATACACCTGCGATCAAAAGCAAATGATACTTTGTTACATCAGTCCATGAAAAACAGAACGTTCTATCTTCTTTTTTTTGTCTTAAAGTATTTGTTATTAAAAGGGCACAAGAACATACTATTCATACTGCAGTTCACAGTCATGTGTGTATCCCATTTTCTCTACCTTGTTGAAATCAGTAATAACTAAAAATCTCACGTCATTATATATCAGCGTTGCACATTATCTTGATATTTTTCTCCATCTATCACTTTGAAATTTTAAGTTAAGGTTTGATTGAAATCTGTCAACTACGGTATTCTAATAAAGCATGAGCTCTCTTTTATGTATTCTGTGTCTATAATCACTCAGTACTGATTCCGAATCTTAAAGAGCTTAATGAAAAGACTGAAGGTTTTACCTATGATGGCTTTTTAAATTATTTTCAATGAGGTTTTAAAGTATAGACACTGAAATTATAGGACTTAATTTAACTTTTTTATTTCTTTCTTACTGAAAACTTACATAGGCGTGCATGAAGGACAGCGCGGAAGCTGTAAGTCACCTTTGAGGCATGCTTGAGTCAAAGCGTTTTTAAATGGTTGACTATAATGAAGCCCCAAGAATCTCTTCCTTTCATCTTCTTATTTTACATAAATGGGAACTGAAGTCCTAAGGATGCAGGTCACACAACTAATTGGCACCAATCCTACTGCTGGTATATTAACCTGATACTGCCTATATGAGCCAATCTGCCTTACTGTGTTTTGGAAATATAAACGATGTTCTTTTCTCATGAGCTCCACTTTTCTGGGCACTTAGAGCAGTGATTTAGTAATAATTCTTTGATATGTCAAGAAAAAGCTTTTAAATGTTTATAAAATGCAAAGGGAAAGGTCTTAAATATTGTCTTAAGAGAATATGATGCCTACCACTTTGTTAGAACAGCAGGAAGAGTCTCAAAGTATTTTACAAACTTCCTCTCTAAACTGGTTGGGCAGTTCTAATACAAATCATGTTTTGGCACCCTTAAATTTTTGCTTATGTTGGTCCACATTAATGAAAAAGAAAAAAATAATAAAGTAAATTTTGGTCTAAAATACATATTTTGATTACAAAATATAAACAAACATGTTGAAAGTTGGAGAAATATTTGTAATTGGCTACAAATGTTGTTGACATGAAAAATAAATATGTGTATATGTATAATACATACATAAATAAAATAATGGGAAAATACCAGAAAAAAAGCTAAATAAGTTATTAGCATCACTTCTTCCTCTGTGTGTCCTGAATAATATTGTGGCTTTTTTTTGTTTGTTTGTTTCTTTGCTTTTTTAAGATGTAAAGTGACTTCTTAGAAGTTCCCTAACTTTAGCAATGAAATTAGTAATTTTCAATAGAATTATTTAAAAGCTTCCATAATTATTTAGAATTATTTAGTCAGCCTTTCCATGAATTTCTTAACAAGAACATTTATGAAAATGATATGGATTATTTTTGCCTGTTCTTAAGAAAATATTTGCTTTCAAAAGACATTATCACGGCGCCTGGGTGGATCAGTCAGTTAAGCGTCTGACTTCAGCTCAGGCTGATCTCACAGTTCGTGGGTTCCAGCCCCGCATCGGGCTCTGTGCTGACAGCTAGCTCAGAGCCTGAAGCCTGTTTCAGATTCTGTGTCTGTTTTAGATTCTGTCTCTGACCCTCACCTGCTCACATTGTCTCTCTCTCTCTCTCTCTCAGAAATAAAGAAAACATTAAAAAAATTTTTTTAAAGGCATTCTCAATAAGAAAATACATCTTATTTCACAGTTACCACCACATTCTATCAATATTAATATACTATAAATTATCCAATAGAAATGCATTATCAATAAGAATATCTAGGGCACCTGGGTCACTCAGTCGGTTAAGTGTATGACTGTTGGTTTTGGCTCAGGTCATGATCTCACAGTCCGTGGGTTCAAGCCCAGCATTGGGCTCTGTGCAACAGCATAGAGCCTGCTTGGGATTCTCTCTCTCCCTCTTTCTCCTCCCTTTCCCTGCTCTCTTTCTCTCGCAAAGTAAATGAAGAAGAAGAAGAAGAAGAAGAAGAAGAAGAAGAAGAAGAAGAAGAAGAAGAAGAAGAAGAAGAAGAAGAAGAAGAAGAAGAAAAAGAAGAAGAACATCTTATACATTCCCACTAAGACAGCTATGTCCTTTTTCACATCAGAAAACCTCCAAAATGGATGATTCCTGAATATTTATTGAAAATAATATTAAAACTCTTTCTTTTTATGAACATATATATGAAATTATTATAAAATCCCATGCAATGACCTAAGGTGGATTGAGCATTGACAGCAGCCCTCATATTCTCCAAATCGCACAAAATTATGAAAATCCTTGTATTTATTTAACAAATCTCCTTGTCAGTGTTCCCACTTCCAGACAATACATGTTACTTCGATCAAATGTAAGTGCTGATACATTCAATCACTTTGAAAACACTATTTTTGTATCTTAGGAGGATGTAAAATAATTCAACAAAATAACCACATAAGTGAAACACAGGACCATCAATCTTAGAAATAAACAGATAAAACTCAAAGGAGATAGTGACCAATTATTGAAAACGAATGCAGTTTAATGTATATTGTGTTTTGGTTAAAGGCCGCAAAAAAAAAAAATCACAGTTTTCAGAATAAGCAGTATGGAAAAGCATTAAATACATAGCACTGCGAAATGTCCCATAGAATCCACTAGATATCTCTAATAACTGACTTTGAGCGCATTTGTCCTAGAGCTTGCCTTACATGGTGAATCATGAATGACACATGTATTTTGATTTTCCTACTCAAAGTCATACTTCCCAAAGCAGAAAAAGCTGTTTGAAGAAACATACAAAATGAAAATAACTTACATTCAATATCAAGGTACATGCTCTTTTGGTGCCCTCCAATCCTACTTGCGGCTTCACAGTCATATCTCCCTGAATCTGACAACTTCACATCTTTAATGTGCAGTGATGAGCTTCCATGCTGCCCTTTGACTTCGATACGGCCATCTGGGCTCTGTTTGCATCGATTCAGGAAAAAGAGAGATTTTACCCTTGGTTCATGCAAAATGATGACCAAACATAGGGCGTTTATCACACATACAATAACGAAAACAAAAAGTCTTACCTGCATTAAGGTTTTTTAAAATGTTTCTGTATTTACGAGTTACTGCTTTTAGCTTTTCCATTTTACCTGCACATTTGTTCACAGACACACTGACATGTGGTAAAAACTTAAACACATGTTTTATCAACATCTTTTATATAATGTGCTCTTTGCTTTTTCAAAAGCTTGCGTGTTCTTCTAGGAAGGGCTTTGTTGGCTTCCAATTATGCTCCTTGCAAACATAGGAAAACAACAGTGTCTATTCAGTTCTGGCTAAAACCCACCAGTGAAAATGATACCCTTGTTTTCACTTTAGGTTTCCTATTTCACCATGTAAAAGCAATGTATCAAGATGTATGATAATTGAAACCTTTAAGAGGAATTTATAGTTATTGTTGAATGAATGAAATAGTGCTGCTTATAAGCCTAATGAGCACCATACCTATTGCAGGTAAATTATTAAAAACAGCACTATGTAAGTCATTCTTAGAAAGTCAATGGAAACAACATAAAAATGATTAATCATGTACTCCAAGAATATTGATTGAAATCAAGGAATTGCTCATAATCCAGTAATGTATAGATTATATTCTATATAATTTCTTGTGTGCAAGGGTATACCTACAATTATTTTCTTAAATCATTCTAATACCTTTATAGCACACATATTAAAACACAGTTTATTCAGTGAATTTTACATTCTACAATTAGGAAATATAATAAAATTTGTGATTTTATAATTCATTTGAAACATGTACTTTACTATTATCGAAGTGATTATTTTCAATGTTTGAGGTTTTAGAGTCTCAATAAACACTGCAGGACACACATTTATTTTGAAATATGTACGTTATTATGTAATAATATAATGGTTGTTTCATTTTCTGTGTAACTGAAATTCAAGTAAATCTCCATACATGTGTGCACTTTGTATTATTAAAACTTGGTTTTTATTTTCTTGTATTCATATCAAGAAACTACTTTAAAGCTCTTTTTCAAACATGAAGTTGGTTGGGACACAAATCAAGTAATTTTTTGTTTTCTACTTTTATAGAAGACTGTACTTACTATATGATCATATGAGTCACTCATAACTTATTTACTATCATTGTCATAAAAATGGTCTTCAAAAGCAAAGAAACAAAAACATGCTGGGGATGTATTATGCAACTTAGATCAGGATTTCTAGGCCAAAAATATGTTCCCTAAGTCTCAAGTATTGCTAAAAAACAGTAAGGTGAGGTTTTCAAGCATAAGGCATTCTCTTCTGCCAATATTTAAGATGTTTGGCTGCCAACCCAATTACTTACTTGAGAGAAAAGGAAAAAAAATGCAGAAACTCACAGAAGTTAAAATTAGAAGGAGTAAACTCAAAAGCGGAATGGCCAATTTGTTATACAAAGTAACTACTTTTCAGTCACTAAGTGGGTATTCTGAATTCTTTATCTTACCGCACTTCTATTTATCATCAGATCCCACTGAACTATCCTTCCGCCTTATGTGCAGACTTCCCTTGGCTTTCAGGACACCTACACAGTCATATTTTTTCTCTCCCAGTGTCATTTCTCTGTCTACTCTTTAATCTGGGTTACATCTTCCTCTCTCCCTGGAGGGCCCTGTATTCTGTCCTGGAGAGTCTCTTCCTTTCCCTTCCAGTTGTGATCTTCAGTCACCCTTTCTCCATCCAGGACCCCGTTTTCCCTGGACAGTTACAGAACCAGGTACCTCTCTTTCAGGGCATTCCTGTTCTATGTGTTTCTCAAAGCAGCGTGCAGATGTGAGCCCATCACTCCCTCACCCAGAATAACCTATTCTACCCTTGTGGTCTTGCCTTTCATGAATAATACTAATTCCCATGCTCCATGCTAGGCTGTGTCTTCAGTCTTGGATCAGTTTCTGAACCTTTATATTTTAAATGATGACAATAATTTTTCATCTTGCTCAACATTAGCATTTTCAATGTCTAGCCACTGTGTTTCCATAGACCTATCTGCAACCTTAGTTGTGCTGCTGCGTTGGAAGAACACTAACGGGGACCTCTGGATTTTGGAGAGAACAATCACACTCAGGGTGAATGTGACCGAAAAAGATTCTCTAACTCTGCAAAAGTCGTCAAAATTATGTTATTTCCTATGTTTTCCTAGCAAAATCTCATTATAGATGCAGAAATTCTTTCTTGTGGAGCTAAGAACAAGTTTTTTTTTAAGCAAACTTTTAATCTTGTACCAACTTCCTGAAGGTTTCACATCCGCTGTGCTCATGATCGTGAATAACACTGTCCTGATACCTAAATAAACTCCCAGTGTCTCAACCTGACATTTCAGTTCTTCATGTGACATCAGATTTCCATCTAAGACATCACTTTTTCTTCTAAGCACACTCTGTGATTTGGATACCATTAATTTGGATTCCAATTAATGTGAATTACATATACTGTCATTTCCATAAGCACTCTCCATAGACCTGTCTCAACTTTTCCCTCTTTATCTCTTCCATAGTTACATGGCGGGATTCTCCCACATTCTTTTAACTTCTTGGGAAAATATAAATTTATATTCAAAATAGTCCTTGGTTGACTATTTTAAACAAATATTAAATGTGGTTTAACATGCTAATAATATACATATATATAGTAATTAGTTATAATTACTACTTTGAACTCTGTGCTTTTCTAATTTTTTTTTTTTTTTTATGTTTTACTTATTTCTGAGAGGAAAGAGAAAGACAGTGAACAGAGGAGGGTCAGAGAGAGAGGGAGACACAGAATCTGTAACAGGCTCCAGGCTCTTAGCTAGCTTTCAGCACAGAGCCCAACGCGAGGCTCAAACTCACAAGCCGTGAGATCATGACCTGAGCTGAAGTCAGACGCTTAACGGACTGAGCCACCGAGGCACCCCGAACTCTGTGCTTTTCTGAAGACACACTACTTTTTCTAATCTTATTGGAACTTTGGAATTCATCCTGTAGGGTGATATTATAGTTGAAAAAATGTGAGAACATCTTTATTTTTATGGTACTTTATGTTAAAGTCACCTGGACTAGTACCAAGGACAGAATCATTATATTCTAATATCTTATAAAGCAAATTAACTTATAGTGAAAATGTACATGTAGTTGAGTAAAGGAAAAGTATTCTTGGAGCTACCATTTACCATTATTATTATTTACTATGGTTTAAAAACTTGCACTTTTTATCTTTAGTAATGTGATAGAATAGCTTACTAGTGGTACAAAACAAATTCTCCATTTTTCTATTAGGAAAAATACTGTTCTTTCACAGAATTAAAAGGAAAATATACTTCCTTTGAAAATAAACACATCTTATCCTCTAGTTATTTCCTATTTTAAATGACATGGTTTTTGACTTATGAAAAACTATTGATGTTTGTAAAATTAATATGATATTAGAACAGATGTGGAAATTGATAAATTATTTCCAATGTATCTGAAGTTATTAACGGAAATTCTGGAAGAACAGAATTTCTTTGGGGAGGTGTATGATTCCCAGGGAAATCATAAGTCACTTTCAGCCTTGACATAGGCTCTATAATAATTACGATATCCATTTGTCTCAAATACTTACACCAGAAGACCAAAGTCATTCCTTCTCATATCTAACATTTCAAAGGACATCTTTATCTTTGTGCCACAAAAAAAGGCATTACACATTTCTGAAAGAAAATTAATTTATACCTTGGCTTTGATTCACCACCTACTGAAGATTCATTTAAGACATCTGATATTTGATTGAGACAGGTTAATGGGCGTATTAGCTGTCCGTCTAGTATTTTCGGGTTCTATCATTGCATTAAGTAAGATGATTAGAAAGTAAAGTGCCTTACTATACATTATTATTCCAATCCTTTATAGAAAGGCACTCTGAAATTTGATTTAATGTTATATTCTTTGCCTTTCCAGAAGGTCAGTTTAAGAATTGCGTATTTGAATAGTATTTCAATATATTTTAAATGGTTATTTATAGAATTTGCTATCCTTTCAAGAATCACTTAATGAAATATTGTGATAACTACCTTCTGGAGTTTAATCCCAATACAAATATTTTGTTTCCAATTTTAATTGTTGGACATTAGAAATTATAGATTATATCATGCTTATTGGTTGTTTTTGTAACCTTACCTGACTAGACATTTATTGCCAAGTTTAGAGCCCAATTTTAGTGCATAACACATTGGAGGTGGCAGTATTTCCAATCTTTCTTCTTCTTTATACTGATGTCTTTGATAATTTTTAGAGTCACTGACCTCTTTAGCCTTTTGAGAGATTTATGAATCATGTCACTTAGTTACTCAGCAATTGTTTTATAGTGCAAATATTCTACAAGAAGCATCCAGGCACCAGGGATTCATGCTGAGCAAAACTGAGCAATTTTCACCCTTTGGGAAATTAAAGTACTACAGATATCCATTTTTAAAATTAATACAAATAAGGGCACCTGAGTGGGTCAGTTGGTTAAGTGTGTGACTTTGGCTTAGGCCATGATCTTGTGGTCTATGAGTTCCAGCATGTTGTTGGGCTCTGAGCACACTGCGCAGAACCTGCTTCAGTTTCTGTGTTTGCCTCTCTCTCTGCCCCACCCCCACTTGCATTCTCTCTCTCTCTCAAAAATAAAGAGACATTAAAAAATAATACAAATAAGCTAACTAGAAGGTTCCATGTGGGAACACCAAAATTTCATCTTAGATGAGTAAATGGAAGGTTAGGGTAGAATCACAGGCATGTTCCTTGATAAATGGAAGTGTGGACTGTGAACTGTAAATAGTGAAAGATGAACAGCTTTGCAGAGAGAAGTCAAAGCCTGTGCCCCCAGAAAACCAAGGACGGAACTGAGAGAAGCCAGCAGGCACAGAGAAGAGTGTAAGGGCACATGCGGTCTCCTGACATTGGATGGG